TGTGTGTGTGTGTACCGTCAAATCAGTTCTTACTGGTACAGGAGGAGATTGCCCCTCCTTCTCCAGCAGAGCATCTGGTGGATTTGAACCACGCTCCTCTGGCATTGTAGTGCAGCTTCTTGGCACTAGGCCACCAGAGCTCCCTTATAGGTTTTCCTTTTAAGGAGTAAACTGAACGGGATGGTTCACTCAGCTGCAGAGTTCTGAGAACACAGTTTGATACTTCCTAAATATCCAAGAGTTATACCCCTTTCCTTTTTCACAATACAAGATTTCATCTAAGAGTTAACATTTGAAAATCAAGCATTAAACAAGTGAGAAAAAGATTTTTATTCGTTTTGTGAAATTGTTGCCACCGACTAGAGGTCTGTCTTCATCTGGATGGTGGGTTGTGTGTGTGTGTGTATTTGGAAGCATGGCTAATAATAAATACACTTACGTGATGCTACAATCCTTTCTATTCTTTTTAACCACAAATGAATTTTGGCCTTGGGATAACTTGTTTTTCAGATTGAAGCACTTAATAAGTTAAAAACGTTAAACAGTTTAATCAAACTGAATGCAATGAAGCTAAACAGAGTCAAAGGCAAGGAGGCCATGCACACCTGTTTGAAGCAGAGTGCTTACCGGGAAGCCCTGTCCGACCTGCAGTCCCCTCTGAACCCGTGTGTCATCCTTTCGGAACTCTAGTAAGTGTCTGATGTGCTGTGAGCTCCCACGGAAATAGCGGTGCAGAAAGGCCTTCACAGTTACTGCCTCAGGGACCCATCGGGCCGCTCTCAGCCCCATTAAGTGCAATATAGTTAAAGAAAGAAATGCTTAAAGCCTCTGCTTGTGTTCACTAGCCTGCATCCTTTCCAGTTAAAATTTACCTGTGGACCCAATGGAAGTTCTTTTAAGTTCATTTCCTTTCATTTGTTTAGAACTAAAATTTTTGCTGTTGTTGTTGTAATAGTTTCTAAAACAGAAGAATCCTGTGCAAGCAGAATATTAGAAATCATATTAAATTCTTTAGTAGTCATTTGACTTTTCTGTTTTAAAATGAGATCTTGGATGAAATTGCCTACTTGGTTATTATTCCATACAGAACAGAAGTAATAATAGAAAAGTAATAATAAACATTCTGTGTAATACCAATATTTCAAAACGATCATTCCCTCTTTAAGAATTCAGGAATGATGTCATTCATTCAGTCGTTTGCCTAGGTGTTTCCTTACCAAATATAATCACAGAAATTGAGCCGAGAAAACGGAGTGCAGGCCTTGTTAGTGAAGGTGGTGAGTGAGGACGGATCTGGGGCGTCAGGCCAGCCTGTCTGGCCCTAGTGCTGGCCAGCTAAGGCTGCCTTTGTGTTTGCTTTTCTACCAGGAGCAAATGCTCTGGCTTTGGCTTCTTGCAGATCCTAAAGGAACAGGTAAGGGTTTTCCTTAAGCCCCAGTATCTCAGGGTGAAATGACAAGTTTGTCAGATGCTTAACATTGTGGGACGCTCACTTTGACCTTGTTTCGTTTTAGCGTTGAAAAGTGCAAATACATGGATTCCAAGATGAAGCCTTTGTGGCTGGTTTACAACAACAAGGTGTTTGGTGAAGATTCAGTGGGAATAATTTTTAAAAATGGGGATGGTAAGTCCTAAGTCTTTGATGTTAAAAAAGCCAAACTTCCAGCATAGTTCTTAAAAGGGGGGAAGTGAAATAAGTAAATGTGCTAAAATACTCTGGCATTCCAACTCCTTGAAAAGATGTGTGTAGTGTTTTGCTAGATATTTAATCTCTTTGTGATTATGTGGATACCACTACTTTTCCCTGGAAATTACCTTTGGATATAATGAAATAAAATGAAGTGTGATGTACATTTCTGAGCTATGATGCTGTGATGTCATGTGATACCTAAGACTTTTTTTATCTGTCTTAAAAGAGAAAGAAGAAACAGTTAGAAATATGAATTGTGTAGGTACTGTAATACAAACTACGTTGTTGTGTGCCATCAAGTGGCTTGCGACTCATAGTGACCCTTTGTACAACAGCTCAGAACCGTGTTCTATCCTGAGCCAACCTCATCGTTTCCAACACACCCACCCCCAGTACCCTAGTCACTGAGTCAATTCATCTCATCCAGGATCTTCCTCTTTAGCACTGTCTTTTTACCCTTCCAAGCATGATAGTCCTCTCCAAAGACAGGTCCTTCCTTGCAACATGCCCAAAGTATGTGAGACGGAGCTTCAGAATACTTGCCTCCAAGGAGCAGCCTGGCACCTACTATAATAGCTAGTAGCTAAGGGAGTTCTGATGGCCTAGTGGTAAGGAGCTGCACAATGGCACATGGTTCGAATCCACCAGCTGCTCCATGGGAGAAAAATGGGCAGTCTTCTCCCATACAATTAAAAGCCGCCTCTGAAGGGAGTGTGAAATGGTGCAACCACTGTGGAAGGCAGTATGGCGCTTTCTCCAAAAGTTGCAAATACAAATACCATTTGACCCAGCAATTCCACTACTGGGAAGATACCCTAAAGAGACCATAACTGCCACCCAGGCAGATAGATACATGCAAACCCATGTTTATCACGGCTTTGTTCACAATATCAAGGAGTTGGAAACAACCTAAGTGCCCATCAACAAATGAATGGAGAGAAGCTGTGGTATATTCACACAATGGAATACTACGCTGCATTGAAAAACAAGAAACTCATGCAATATTATTCAAAATGGGTGGGTGAAATATCTCAGTCACAAAAGGACAAGTGCTGCATGGTGCCACTATTGTAGAACGGGACTAATACCAGGGTTGGGATGAGACTGAGAAAAATTGGATAAATTATGTATACTGCATTGAAACAAATGAGGGAGAGAACTGTTTGAAAGCGATATATGATTGGGTATTATGGTTATGACAAGAATCCAGAATGAAGGTTGCATAGTGGAATGTACTTGGGGACGGAGGGGGGGATTGTATACCAATGAAACAATTTTTCTTTTAAAGAGAAGAATGAACTGAGGGGAGGGGTGGGCAGGGTGAAAAATGCAACAGTGAATGTTTGGCAATCCAAAATCTCGGTAAACGTTAACGTGTTGCTGCAAATGATGGTAAAAATGTTTCTAAGCACAGCTGTCAGTTTAAAAGTATGCGACAACATGTTAAAATTAATTTTAACAAAAATGTTAAAAATACAAATAGGAAGAGAGAGAAAAAAAAGCTGCCTCTGAAAACCCACCAGAGAGCTGTGTGTGGGCTCCTTCCTCCTCAGTGGTACACAGTAGCGTTATCTGTGTTTGACTGACAGTACAGAGGCATTTGCTTGTGAATCATAACAAATTGTGGCTGACATTGAGGAAAATGGGACTCTCAGAACACTTAATTGTGCTCGTGCAAAAACTATGCATAGACCAAGAGGCTGTTATGCTCATACGAAAGCTATACCTGAACCAAGAGACTGTTGTCCTAACAAAACAGGGCAACATTGCATGGTTTAAAATCGTGAAGAAATGAGTGTGAAGGTCGCATCCTTTCTCCACACCTAGTCAGTATGCTGTGCAAATAATTTGTGAAGTTAGATTCTTTGAGAAAGAGTTTGGCATCAGGATCAGAGAAAAATTCATCAACTCCCCACATTATGCAGATGGCACAGTCTTACTTAGTAAAACTCACGAGGACCTGAAATGCCGCAGAAGATGAAACACTCCGGCCTTCAGTGTGGATTACATCTCCCCACCAAGGAAATCAGAGTCCTTACCGTTAGGACAATAGCCGGCATCGTGATAGATGGAGAAAGGACTGAAACTATAAGTGATTTCCTCTTACTTGGATCCACGGTCAACACCCTTGGTACCAGGAGATCAGGACACGCTTTGGGCAAAGTCTGCTGTTCGCTCTCCGGGGCTTCTCCGTAGAACTGAAGAGTAATGATGTCAGTTTGAAGCCTAAGATGCACCTGATTCAGGCCATGATCTTTTCAGCCACTTCCTGTGCATCTCAGAGCTGGATATGAATAAAGACAGAAGAAGAATAGATGTCTTTGAGTTTTGGTGCTGACAGAAGAGCTCTGAATATACATTGACTGCCAAAAAAATGAACCAGTATGTCTTGGAAAAGGAGCGGTCGGAGTGCTTCTTGGAGACAAGGTTGGCAAAGCTTTGTCTCTCATACTTTGGACACATTGCTAGGGGAGGCTGTTTCTTGGAAAGGGGTGTCATGCTTGGAAAGGTGGAGGATCAGCAAAGGAGGGGAAGCCCTTCAATAGGGTGGGTTGACACAGTGACTGCTGCAGTGGGTTCAGTATATTAGAGATGATCGGAATGGAACAGGATAGGGCAGGGTTTGGGGCTGTTCGTAGCGTCACTATGTATCATACTCAACGAAAGCTGACAACTACAGCAGCTGTAAGGTTGCTGTCAGAATTACATCAACAGCAATGGGGATTTTTGGTTCACAATAGCTTACACACAATATGGAATGAATTTCTGAAATACTGCTGCAGGGACATGTAACCAAATAGCCTCTTATTTTATATCGTTATAGGACGTGATAAGAGAGAGAGAGTGTGTGTGTTTTGTGTGTGTGTGTCAGGAGGGGTGTTTCCAAATTATTTGTCGATGGTTACAGTTAATTCTGACAAATTCAAGTGACACTTCAATTAATATATTATTAGGCATAATGTGGAGAGAATTTGCGTTGAAGCAGTCTTTTCCCCCATGTAGATTTGCGGCAGGATATGTTAACACTTCAGATGCTGCGCTTGATGGATTTACTCTGGAAAGAAGCTGGTCTGGATCTACGGTAAGATTTCTTGTTATTTGAAGGTATGTCCCTCTTAACATCACAGTTTCTTAAGCTCCATGTCAATTCCGTACACTATACTTTCAAATACCAGTGTAGTTTCAAATACATTCTCTGAGTTGGGTTTCACCAGGTTTAAAGCTATGCCTGGCACTGAGTTCTAGAATGAAGCAGTCATTCGGAATGTGCTCTAAGGCTGGGACACATGAGTCCGGATCGAACCTGTAGCTTTGAAGATGCTCTGAGGATAGGATTGCTTGTGATGACAATGAAAAGGCCAGAGAAGGACCTGCCCTACTTTTGACTTGCCTGAATTTTCTTGCATAAACTTGTAATAGTATTCTTGTAGATAGCCCTTAATTTCTAAATTTTGTCAAATTTGCTGATTTTTTTTTTCTAAGGCCCACTTTTGGATTTGTTCTGTTTTTCTACTCTATTTCATTTCTTTCCACTCTAATCTTTGTTCCTTCCTTCCTTTTTTTCTTGTCCACAAAGATTGTTGTTGTTATGTGCCATTGAGTCGCTTGCGACTCATAGCGACCCTATGTACAAGAGCGATAAATGCTGTTCTATCCTGTGCCAACCTAGCCATCTCAAACACACTTATTCCCTTCGCTCCAGTCATAGAATCGATCCATCTCATCGAGGGTCTTCCCCTCCTGCTCTGTCCCTCCACTCTGCCAAACATGATGTCCCTCTCCAAGGACCAGTCCCTCCTTGCAACATGCCCAAAGTATGTCAAACAAA